AAGGGCACGGCAGCCTGTGGGAGAGCGGCCGGTGCTGCCCTTCACTCTTGTGTCGGACCATGCTGCTGCTAGTTTCTTTTCACTAATGCTCACAGAAGAAAGCGTGACTTAAGCCCTTGTTTAAACCTAAGCAGAGAGCCAGTGCTCAGGGTGCGTTTCCATGTATGTTGATAATGATGTTGGTGCAGGATTTGCCCGTTGCTCATCCCTCATCTCGGCTCCCCCTTGCCCAACCATGTCCCCCTCCAGCCTCCTTTTAGTGCCCACTGGAGGAGCCCCTGGTCGGTGGGGCAGCAGGACGGTACTAGCAGGGGCAGAGCAGGGCAAGAGCAAGCGACTAGAGATGGGGGAGTAACCCTGTGTTATTCCCCAAGGTGTCAAAATCCTTCCTGGGGCTCTGTAGCCAAGCCCTCTTTTGCACCTTCCTAGAGAATTAGGCAAGTGTTGCCCCAGCATCTGGATTTTAAGAGTCTGTACTGAAGACAAGTTTCTTACTGATGTGATGTTTAAGGCAAGAGAGGAGGAGAGAACTAGTTTCCACCTGGTCATTGCATACTGAGGTTGTTTGAATATTAAAGGCATTAAGTAGAATCAAGACTGACTTGAGCTTTCTGGATACCCCTGGGCCATTCTGCTCCCCTCTAATAAAACTGTCTGTTGCACGAATGGATGAAAGTAATGCTCTGCTTTATTAATATTTTCTAAATATCTATCTGGAAATACATCTTTTTTTCCCCCCTCTTCTTTTTGTTTGTGGTTTGTTGTGGGGTTTTTGTTTGTTTGGTTGGTTGGTTTGGGTTGTTTTTTGTTTGTTTGTTGTTTTTTTTTTTCTCTGTAAATGCACCGAAATTATTTTAGCAGCTTTATCATTTACGTGCTTAACTGGCATAACCTGAGACATGATTGATCATTAAAGAAAGATGGTTACAGTCACCCAAGGAGAAGTCATGGGGGTATTCACCTGTTTCACTGGAGCCAGAATTTGACTATTGATAGACAATCTGGAATATCCCAACAAAAATATAATGAAGTATAAAACAGCTTTTTTTTTTAATTTTATTTTGCTTAGGTAACATTAATTTCAAAGCACTTCTGTAATTTGAAAGAGCTATTACACTTTAGGCTTTTTTTCCTGAATTTTAGAGATCTGATGAGAGTAACATATCTATATATCTACATATCAAATGCATCTTTATACATTTTCTAAAGCCTGAGTAATCTTGACATCAATAACAATTAGCACCCATTGACTTGAATGGATTAGCAGGACTATGGGAAAAAGAGAACCTGTAGACACTAAAAACTGCTATAAACCTTTATCAGAAAATGTTCTTTAAAATCTCAAACTCTTATACAGTTAAGCAGTATTATGACTTTTAAATATTTACATTACAAAATCATTTGAAACAGGTATGTGATAAAACAGTTGAACATACAGCAATCTCATATACAGAAAGTAAACAAAAGTTATTTTTATAGCCCTCCATCACGTTTAGCATTGCAAAACAATTTACTTTTATTTCAGATCAATAGTTGTCTATGGAGTCATAACTTGCAACTATCTAGAAGCTAAAAACTACATACTTTTTTGCTGAGTTTAATGTTAGGGTTATGTGCTTTACAAGTGCAGGACTAGTATGGTGTTAATTAGCTGCTGGCAATGCCAAAAACCTTATGTTTGTAACTTTATGGAGGAGTTATTTCTATTTTATTGAAAAATTATCTGTCAAGATAATGATTTTTAGCATATGTAGGAGAGATGTTGTTTCTTAATTACCCTTCTTACCCATGTATTTCTCAAACAAATCCTTTGGATCTGTAGCTTTTCCGCCTTCTGTAGGACAAGAAGTGATCACACTGTAAATTAGATGTCAAATTATCTTGAAGTGTTGGATAACTACTGAAATACTTGAAGAAAATTGAAGAAGAGGTAACAGTTCCTTAGGGATCATCACATTTGCTAAACATTTTAGAATAATATATAGTGAAAGTGACTTTCTGTTTGCATGCTTTTTTGTGTATTATGCCGAGGAATAACAACTTGAGTGATCAGTTGATGGTAGATGTTGCAAGATGATGGTGAGATGGGTCAGCTCAGATAAGGCTGATGAGGAGGATATTACAGCTGAAGCATAAAAACTGTGTAGTGCATGGCAATATTAATAATCATAAAACCTGCTTGTATCTTGTCTGCTGTCTGGTTATCCTCCGTTTTGTTTTGTGGATTAGGGGACCTGACTGTGTGCCTCATTTGGGGAAAATAACATTACAACATTTTGGCTGTACTAACGCAGGAGTGAAATGGTCTAAATCCCCTGTAATTCAATCCATGTACAAGATGAAAATATTGAGATAAACCACGTGTAAGAGGAAATGGGCAGGAACTGATGACAAATGTCAAAGAAACAGGGGTGCCTGGGGCACACAAGTAAGCAGGAGAGGGAAACACGGGATGGGGTGAGGGAGGAGAGGAACCAAGGTAGCAACAGTGCTGGAGCTGCGCCCACAAACCCGGGGCCCACTCAGCTGTAACCCGAGTGAGTGGACGCTGGGCGATGGCCGTGGCCAAGGCAGAGGGAATGTAAAAATGAAGATCAACGAAAAAGACCAGAGGGGTGAAATGTGGTAGTGCAGAGCTGGGGCGAGGCATCGGATGAATGAGTGATCCCCTCCAGAGTTTAAGACTAGCATTTCTGTTTGGAGGGGAAGAAAAACAATGGTGTAAAAATGTTTAGGGAAAATAGAAAGACTAGAAATCGTATTTGTCTAGTACTAAGGGAATCCTTTAGAAATAACTGTAACTATACTGAAATGCAAATTACTTGGCACTTTCTGTTTCACATGGGGAGGACAGGATCTGATGCCAGGCAAGATTTGATGAAATGCTGTCTTTTCCAATAGTAACTTGGCAACTCTGAGATTTGTACGTTTAAAAAGCAGCAGATTCAGGTAACTTATATCCAAAACTGGCCAAGGTAGTGCCCAATGCGTTATTTGGTATTTTTAAATACTTGGAAAGTTCCCAAAGAGGAAAAGAAGTTTCTAGGCATGCCAGATTTTAGAGAGGGTAAATGGCATAACCTGGATAGTTATAAAGCTCTAACCTACCTAATAGTTCTGGGTAAAATTGGTTTTAAAGCTTGATATAGAGATTGATTAATCATGAACTCTGGAATAAGAATTACTACTTAAGGTGAGTTTACAGAATATACAATCACTCAAGTTAAACTTAGGGGGGGTTTAAGTGAAATTAAATGTCTGAGAAACTTGCTTAAAACTGTATAGCATTTTATCTGGCAGAAGGACACGATCCAGAATTAACGTTAGTCCCAAACCAACAATATGCATGACCCAGCCTCTTTCCAAATGCCATAGCAGACTGAGTTAGTGCGTGGCACTGTCATAAACGCATGGCTAGGACAGGCTGAAGGATCATCAGCATGTCAGAACTGAGTTATGATATATACTGTCACTTTTGAGGGCTGGTTAATTTTCAAAACTAAAAAAAAAAAGAATATAATAAAAAGGCAAGGACTCCCAATTCTTCATGTCCCAGCTGTGCTTCAGCTCCCTCTGGGGAGAAGGTGGTGGCTGCTGGATGCAGAGCAGTGTGGGCTGGAGCCAGGTAGCGTGAGAGTCGCTGCTGGACACCGGCGTTGCAAACTGCCCCCTCACCACTGACTGCCCTCCAGCCACGCAGCTCGTAGTGGTCTCAAAATACAGCTTTTTATCCTGTACTGTTAAAGAAAACATTCTCTGGTTTGGGCATCTTCATAGTACTGCTTTGAAAACTCTAGGAAGTCTGAGCATAATATTTTCGTCTGTTGGAAAGCAGTTGCTAACAAAGGGGCTGCTGGAATTTTTAAAGTTTTCTAAATTTCAGTCTTTCACTTTTTTCACCCTTGTGGTTGTATTATTTTAAATCAGTTTTTTTGAGAATGAGTCTACTGTCAGGAACTCGTGGAAATGTTAAAAAAAAAAAAGAAGGTTGTGAAAGATGAACTTAGACCACTTTTTTAAAAGTCAAAAAAAATCATTCAAGCAGGAGAAATTAATTTACCATCACTCATATATTAAATCCACTATTTGACATAAATTGTTTTGGAACAACGAAGAAATCTTTTGCTCTGAGGAAATTACTAGTCAAGTCATATTGAGTAATGAATGAATGTTAGCTGTAAAAATTTTTTTTCCTTTCATATTTTGACACATCCTCAGCTACTCATGAAGCTGAACCCTCCTCTATATTTGTTAGGGACACTTATCTGTCATCCCAGAGGCTTGGGGTGCTTGCTCTCTTTAACCAAGAGGTGCATGATAACATATTAGTGAAATAGTTGCAGGCAAAGAAAAACTGATCATATTAAACATGTATTAAGTAGGAAGAAACTATATATTTAAATATAAGATGAGGATTGGTAGGATGTGAGAGGGTAGGTTATAAGATACAGTAGGATGTAAATCTAATAAGGTGGGGGAAGCTTTGCACAGTCAGGGATACCCTGTCATGTGTGTTACATATTTAAAATACATCCATGAGAGACACAGCACCTCAAATCAAGGCATATGATTACAGTATTTATATTCTTACCTTGAGGTATCTCAGGAGTCTGATTTTTTTTTTTTTTTTTTTCAGTGTAATTAAAGGTGATCGGGCACATTTAGAAGTCAAAGTCTTTAAGATATTCCAAGCTCAATAATCATAAACAGAAGCAGCAGAAATCTTACTGTATCTGAAAACCTTGACCAAGTACTTATGCATAGCACGTACTTATCTACACTGTGTTTGGTGTGAGTACTGAATTGTTCAATTTTCTCAACATGTCTTTTTTTTAAAAAAAAAACAAACAAAAAAAAACAACAAACTTTTCAAGTTGAAGATTCCAGAAGTAGGTGGTGGTTAAAGAACAGCACTGAACAGGGAGGAGGGTTAAATGGTGAGAGGTAGCCCAGGGTACTAACCTGTGGAGATAACAAACTGAAAAGCAATCTCAAAATAATATTTTCACTTCTACAATGCCTTTAATTTGAAAACCAAACAGCATGTTACAAAGACTATGCCCTCACTGGGCTGCAGGTGCCTCTGTTAAGTCCTTTGAGAGGCTTTTCAGCTGCTCTGACCTCAGAGCTGGTCTGTCAGTCCTAGTCTGGTACCTTCCCAGCAGAAGTCCTGTGCAAATCAGTACACTGTTACCAAAAAGCAAATTGAAAACCAAACATTGCGTAGACATGAGCTTCACACCCATCAAACCAGGGTAGTCGAGAATTACTGATGCTATTTTTTAAAAAAAGCTACCCACAAAAAATGAAGAAACCCACCAAACTTTGATCAGAAATGGTCCTGAACAATAGACAACTGAAGAACTAGACAGAAACATGGACTATTTTGAGAACTTTTCTTTTTTTGGGGGGGAGGGAAGGAGGCATGGGGAGAAGAGGCTTATCTTCATTTGTGATGAATCTCATTGCAGAAGGAATTCAAATCAGCCCCTAATCTTACTATAGTCCTTTTCCTTTTTTTTTTTTTTTTTTTTTTCTTCACTTTGTTTCCTTTCTGAAGGCTGTATGTAGCAGGACGCAACAAAAGCATTTGCTTCTCTGGCCTTTTGAAATTAATTATATTTAAATCCAGTTCATCCAATATCTGGAAGATCATCTGCTTGTGCGCTGCTTCCCTTTAACCAGTTCTTTGCTGTTTTGACTTCATGATTCACCATCACTGTGTATACATGGAAAGGAAGAAAACACACCAGTACCATGTTGGGTTAGTTGTCTCAGCAGGAAAAAATATGCAAGAGTTGTCAGAAAACAAATGTGTCAGCCATGCAATGACCCCATCTGTGGTGCCAGATGCACCCTTTCTCCTGCTCCCAGGTGAAGACTGAGCAATCAGTTTGCCCTCTTTCCACAGGTTAGGATAACTTTCTAAAGGTGGAATTTTTGTATTAAATCTGGCCTTGTAACAGATGAATTTCCTCTTTGTCCCTCTGGTTTCTGCCTGGCTAGATTTCTCCCTAGGACTTTCTTAATATTGTTTGGTTCATGCCAACATTAAAAACGCAACACTTTTTATTGTCTGGTTAGATTTCAGTCAGCACTAACAGCAGGGGCTTAAACCACCTCTGAAGTTAAAAGGGCCACTCAAATTCTTACTATTTTGCATGTTGTTTTAAGTACCTTGCCAAACTGAGGCGCAGCCTGGGAAAGGAATATTTCTTCCTGTACTGACTTATTTCCCATCCAGAACATCTATCCATGAGAAAGAGTTACCCTTTTTCAGACAGAAAGATTAGGAGGGTGCCTAGCAGTGCCCAAGGAAAATCAGATCCACCCCCAGAAGGCGTGATAAAGCTGGGGGGAAAGGGCGATTGCTTTGTCATACTCAGCAACCTACAAAGCCCCATGCTGTGAAGGGGACAGGCTGTGCTTCTGTTTTGCCAGGGGAGTAGAGGCTGGGGAGATGTCGTGGCGCTCTGCTCAGGCACCAGCAGGGCCTCAGCACTAGGTTTCAAAGGCAAGATGTATAATTTTAAATATCTATTTGAAAAAAACAAAGTATATACACGTGTATAATTGTAATTTAGCTTATGGGCAAGGCAGGTGACCTCCACCTGCAGAGGAGCTCCGGCTGTCATATGTTGCCTCTTGTGCACAGATCTGCAGCCGTGATGCTCATGAGTACAAATTTTTGCTGTAACAGCTTTGTTTCATTTTACTTCATAGTCTTTCACTTTTCTTGCTCAAAAGAGCTGCTGAAAACATCTATTTATCTGTACGTAGTTCTCTTTCTGACATTATTTATTAAGCTAAGAGTTTGGTCAGGAAAAGCATCAGTTCTTGGTCTGATAAGGTTCAATTGCAGAAATGAATGTGAACGCACTTTTTTTTTATTTACCAGGAAATCCCACCGCTTCGCATTCCTTTCCACTTTGAAATGAAGCATGTTTCAAAATTTCATGCAAAATGAAATTTGAAAAAGTAGCTTTGAGTTAAGAAAAACACTTAACTTAGAAATATTTCACCACCACAGGGTTTTGTTCTTTAAACCTTTTCAAAATTTCATATTAAAAAGTCACTTTAAAAAGTGGGTTTGGAACAACTTTCATTCTGAAAATGTCAAAATGTCATTACTGAAATGCTTAGTCTCGGATGTTTTCAAAATGATATCCTATCAAAATGAATTCATAGTTGGGTCTTGATTAACTCCCCCCAGCATCTTTATGAAGCAGGAAAACAACACTCAGCCAGCTGTGTTCAGTGAGGCCTTGAGATGTTTCCCACAATGAAATATCATCAATAAATTCTATAAACGGAATCACCATAATTTGAGAAGAAATTTGCCCAAACAAAGCAGTCTTTCACAATCTGAAATTGAACCTAATAATCTTGCAGGTTGTATTCAACTAATATCCTTTGTCTGAGCAGCTCTGAATGCTTTGGAGATAAATCTCCTCTTTTTATTTGCATTTGTTTGCCTTCCTACAATTTAGAGGCATAAATTTCTCCACAGTCTGATCTTAAGATACCAGTCATAAGAAAATATGCTTAAATAATGTGTGTACCTTCACTCTGACTGAAGCATACTTCTCTGAACAGGGCTGACTTTTTGCATCAAGGCTGAAGCCTTGATATAGTGCTTTGAAGTGACAGTATATCTATTTTACAGGTGGGGAACTTGAGGTAGGGTGTAGCTCAAAGATACCTTTTGCCAGTCAGGAGCAAAAACCCCCACCTTCTGATGGGCTTAATGAAAATCTGGTACAAAAGCATTTTCGTAAGGACCATATTTAAGATGTCAGCTCAAGCTGGTAGGTCATGATGATTTTTTTCTGAAAATGAACTGTTGAAGTTTGAGAAAGTAAACTTAATGCTCAGGGTGTCATTGTGCCTAAAAAGCCTTTTATAGTATAATTAACTTCTGCTGGTGTTAGCATATGGCTCAAGCACACTTTGTCCTATACTCCCTGCTACAGTCAGTGGAATGTTGAGCAGATCTGTTCCACACCACTGTGCAGCTGCCTCTCCTCAACAATTTTCCCTCTCTGACTTATCATTTAGAGGCTGGAAGGGAAGACCCAGATGGCGAGTGAATCCAACATCTTTTTCAGCTGCCTGGGGTAAAATTATTGTGCTTGCTTGCATCTGGAATCTAGGATCTAAGTCTTTTTTAAAGAAACAAACAAACAAAACCCAAAACCCCACAACACAACAACAATTTCTATTGCAACAGGCGTAAGCAGAAACCTTTTAAATATAAATAGCTGCAGTGGAGCAGCCCCACCCAAAAGCTATCCTGAAACTGCAGCTTTGGAGCAACTGAGATGCAGACTCTCCAGGAGTGGTGATTTAAGATCACCACTATTTCACTCCTGAGAAAGGAAACTCGGAAAAGAGGAGGGGGACCAGGATATTTTGATGGCCTAGCTCCATCGAAGACACAGGTTGAGCTAAATTCCCTGGTGCCGTGGGAAGGGGAGACCCAAGTCCTCCAGCCACCCCTTCCTGCTCCTGGCCTTGCCTTTGCTTGCAGCCGCTGCTTCCACTGCACCAGGAATTTTCTTGGCACACAGGATGGTTTAATTGTTTGGTATCGTAACCGGCCGCAGAGGAGCTGCTTTGCCCACTCCCCAAAATGCAGCCACAGCACAAGCGTGCAGGCGAGGGTGATGTAAAGCCCCTTGCTTCCAGCTGAAACCAGATTTTTTAATTAGGGAAAACGGGAGTTTGAGAGGGGTTTATGAATTCTGCTCAAAATCCCGAGGAAACCAGCCAGAAAGTTTTAAAGTTTTTACAAGCTGCCAGGATTGTGGTTTTGCATCCCTCGGGGATCTCTGCTTGGACCACAAGCTAGTGCCAGCTCCGGGGGAGCACAACGTGGGGGCACCAGGAGGATTCTTGGGGTCTGGGAGGTCACACCTCCAGCCAAAACACCTGGCAGGGGTTCTTGGGGACCGGGAGGCACCTGGGGACCGAGGGGAACGGGGTGTCTGTGCTGGTGAGGAGTGCGAAGGATGCTCTGCTGAATGCTTGTATTAACACCTTGGGAAACTGTGATTAAAGTCTGATCAGCGAGCGAAACTCCATCTGTGCCATCTGGTTGTCTGTCTCGCACAGGTTTTACAACCGCAAGATTATTTAGTGGTGCAATTTACAGGCAGAGACCAGTTTAGAAATAAGAGCGTCAAACCTTTTGTTTAAGTTGAAATCAAAGTCCCTACATAAAAAAGCTTCCAAAATTAAATAGACCAAAGAGTCACTCTATTTATAATTAAGTATATATATATATAAAAAAAGAGATTATTTTGGAGTTACATTAACCGTATTTCTTCCAATAATATAATGAATTAAAAGTACCTTGGGTTGGCAACTGATTCTTTTTCTTCTTCTCTTACAGTAGGCAAACATTCACAGTCAGCTGAAAAAGGGTAGGAAACAAGACTACAGTTACTTTTGGCAGTTCTTCTACATTTATTTCAAAATTGCATCAACTTTTATCATGTAGTCTCTCTAGAATGTAAAACTGCAGGCACTCTTCTGCACCCTTCTATCTGTAAAATCTTCATGGTCCCCATAGCACAGATGTTACATGTTTTAAATCCTCCTTCCCCTTGATAGGTGTTGCCATTAATTTCTTTATATATTTCAGTTGTTTATGTACACCTATACAAATGAACTACTTTTAAGGTCTGTTTCCCATAGACTACCGGGGGAGGACTCTTTTAATCTTCCACTGCCACTAGTTGCACCTATGCTTTATAGTCCAGCTGGGAATTTCGGGCTGGGGTTTAGGGAACACTAACAAAAAAAAACCCCACCAAACCTCTGTGTAAACTATTTGCTCCCTTCTGTCCACAGAATTTAAAAAAATATTTTACAGCATTATTTCCCTGCGTACTTTACTTAACGTCTCTATTTTACTACTGCTGCTTAGCATATGTTTTCTGCTAGAGCTTATGGACTGCGAAGGTCAAAGCCCCATCATGTGGAGCACTGTGCTAACGCAAAGAAATGCTCCAAAGAGTTTTATGTCCTGAAAAACAAAGCATCCTTAGGAGGTCAAGCAAATGAGCCATTTGAATGTGAGGCAAGGGATCGGCAATGGAAAAAAAAAAAAATAAGGGTTTCAGCATTTCCTAGCCAGTGAAAAGCTGTTAGCAGTTCAAAATCAGGCCTTGGTTAATCCTTGCCTTACTGAAGACCTGCATTTTTTGAGAGCCTTGAAGGAGGATGCAGGACCCTTTAGAGATTTTGACTGGGAGATTTCAGTTGGGAGGAAAAAAATGAAGGGGAAAAAACCCACGAGATATACTTCAAAGTACCTAAGAAGGAGCTGAAGCTGCTGCTGTTGGTCGTTACCACAGGTACTAATTGCTCTGTGGGCTGTTAGACTTGCCAGAGAGGATGTAGATGGTGAACAGTGCTGGCAGCAAGGAGCAGCTTGTGTTTCATGCAGTAGAGATGGCAAGCAAGGGAAAGGATGCAAAGAGGGGAGGGAGGTATTATAGGATCCTGGCAGCAATTTTAAGTAAACGGTGGTCTGAACTATGAGTAAATGCATGTTTCTTCTACAATATCACAGTATGGAGCACAGAACTGTAGAAAATCTGAAGACTGAAAGGACTAGATGCTTTAGAGAAACTAGTATTTAGCATTAAAAATGTGCATTTCAAAATATAAATACTGTTCACAGCTATACATGTGTTTAATAGAAGTGTCTACTGGAAACTCAAAACATTTATGATATTTCATCATATGTTAAAAATAAGCTCCCACACAAACTAAAATAATCCTCTGAACAATTCTACCCCTGACATTTCTGCTGCTATTTTAGTAGCAGGGAGTCAAGAACACAGCTAAAAATGCTGTAGGAAAAGCAATGACACATATACGAAATGCCTCACATTGATTTTTCTACGCATGGGATCTACGTCAGCTAGAAAGAGAGGGACGATGGAGTAGAGGGGTTACCGTGTACCATTTTTGTTCATGCTGTTCATCCATTTATCAAGCTCTTCCATTTCTATTTCCATAACAGAGGGCGTGTCTTCTTCAAAAATAGGACTTGAGAGGAGGGAAGTGAAAAAAAAAAAAGGCATTACACAAAACGCTTAATTTAAACAACTTACAACGTAGTAATTTTGTGCAAGTCTCTCATAATTCCAGACACATGTATAAGCTCTGGAAAGCCGTCCTAGCCCAGTAATCTGAGAAGACGTCAGCTCAGTAGGTGTGAAGGAAATGGCCAGGAAGGTTCTGGGCAGAGGTTGGGCTGGCTGGGGCACCACGTCCAGAGGGACTCGGGCCGTGCAGCCTGGGCTGTGACAGGGCACAGGACCACTGCAGCTATTCAAGAGCTGTCCCGACTGTAAATAGAAAACTGAAAAATAACATAGTTTGTCTCTGCCCTGCTGGAACACATGGCAGAAGTCCCGTTGCTCTAGTGATAAAAGCAGAAGGCCTAAAGCTTTGTCCTAGCTGTGACAGACATTGGCAGTGACTTCAAAAGGAAAGGTCATGTATTTATTTAAATGCCTCCATTTAGTTTCCCTTTTACTGATCAGTCCTGGAGCCACACGGTAGAAAAAATAGTTTTAGCAAAACCCCCTTTTTTTTTTTTTCCCTGTGAAGTCAATTTAATAACTTCCAGCATTGATTAGCAAAATGGCACTCAATAGAAGGTAATGATAAAAATTATCACTCTGATAGGAGCCATGCCGCTTTTGGCTTGTTGTCCCAGCAGAAGGCATTGCCTCCATGGCAGCTGGGCGAGCCTTTCTGCTTCACCTCGGAGTGAGAAGACAAACTTGAAAAACAGGGGAGCAACACACAGAGCTTATTCTGAATAGTAAAAGCCTGTGGTGAGCCTGGGAACTGATCCCCTTTGCTCGTGGGGCACCTTGTATGGCTGGTGGAGCCGGGGGTGCCCAGAGCCAGGCGTAGGGGCGGCTGCGGGTGGTGGGTGCCTGTGGGGCAGCGCTCGCCTCGGCCACCCGAGCTCCTGTTCTCCTGCTCTGGTCTCACACCTTCAGCTCGATGCTGAAATCACACCTTAGCCACATGTAGAGAGAGTGAACTGGAGCAATTGATGGCAAAAGTTAATGGTTGTTAGTGCACGGTTAAAGTAAAACAGGCAGTGAGGGAGCCAAAAATCATAATATCCTGTTAGAGTAAAAAAACCAAACCAAAACAAAACCAAATCGATGATCATAAACTTTACCTTTTCACATTTTCGCTTCCCAGCTCATCTGGAAAAGAAAAAAATTGGTGTTCATAGTTCTGCTTTTTGCACATACAGGGTCCAGACTGCAAGCAAGCCTTGAATAGGGTCACGTAAAACAGGCTGCCTTTTCAAAAGGCGTAACAGTTATCTTGTGGATGAAAGACAAAGCATCTGATCCTGCTTGTAATTTTCAGAGGAACCCATTATTTTTAATCTTGAACACACTAAAAGTAGCTCATTATTAGCTCAGCTGTGCTGGGAGGAAACTGAATGTTAGCGCCGCGGTGGGCAGGACATGGCAGATGCACGCTTCCCTGAGCAAAACAGATGTTGAGAGGAATGGTATCCTGAAAAGGAACCACTGCTGCAAAAATTCATTTACTGGAGGTGCCAGGACATTTTGCTGCAGACTGCACGCAGGCAGTCCAGCTCTGCCTGGAGACTCTGGAAGCTTCTTATGGAGAGAAGGAGAGGATGGACTTGCATGGCAGACTAAATCTCAGTTAGGCAAATGAAGCTGAACTAGCCAGATGTCAAAAGGGATACAAAGCTAGTTATGACCCCAAGACAAAGTAAAGATGGGGGGGAGAAAATAGTGTAGCAGCCATTACTCAGATAAATAACTTCCCGTCCAGGAATCAACTGGCTGAAAAACTTCAGCCTTCAAAAAAGAATGAACAACTACATATAGGATTCACACTGTATGCTATCTTAAGTCAGCTTGGTTTTAATTCATTGTTGCCAATGGGTGCTGACACCTTGCGCTTGTTCCAGCACATTCCCTGACTGCAGAGCCACCCCAGGGCCACCGTCCCGTCTGCCCCTGCCTTGAGGGTGCCCAAAACCCCAGCGCCAAGCCATAGGCACAGGGCAAGAGATCCCAGGATTGTGCTTCTGCAAGGCACCATGCTTCCCATCCCTCTGAAGAGTGCACCTGTGTTTCAGGTCATTCAGAAACAGGCAGGCAACTAGGTGACTGGTTGTGAATTCAGAGTTTGCTACGAGGGGGACCTGGTGATAGGAAAGGTGCAGCCTAAAAATGCCCTGAAAAATGGGCTTAAAATCTATGTTGAACATATGTCACTGTCTGCAGGCTGAGGAGCTTACAGCTGTACTCTTGTTCCGTACAGACACCAATACGACCGTTTCTGGACTTCACTTATCAACTGCGTGGTTTTAATATGACACCTCAGTTTGTCTTCTGTGGCTTGACACTCCAAGTTACTAATTTCCTCTCTACCAGTTCAAGGTACCCTTCTGAAGCACTGCTCTCCCTGTCACAGCACCCAGGCAGTCTGACCACGGGAATCCTAGGTCGTTTCTGGTGATATCTTCATAGCTGTCACCACCCTTAAAAGTGTTCCTTAAAAAAAATCCTTAAAAGTATTCCTTAAAATGATTTTGCTTGCTCTTATTTTGTTGAAGCTCCACACAGCTTCACCTTGTGGGCAGGATAGGCAATAGAAGTATTAGATTAGCCTTTCATGGAGTTAAGTATAAAGACAGAATAAGCATTTGCAGCCACATGGTAACATCCATATGCCGTTCCCAGCACTGCCAGGAGCTGGAGCTCGGTGCTGTGGCTCCCGTGGGGGTGCAGTGTGAGCAGGAGGTGCCCAGAAGCAGAACCAGCTCCTGCCCAGGGAGAGGTGCGTGCCCAGATACCCTGCCCAGGGGTGGATCTCCTTCCTATTTGTCAAACGTGCACCTACAACCAGAGAAGTGCATCCTACGTGTGGCATCCCAGGCCTCCAAATAATGTTTAGTTAATGTCAAGCATGTCCTAAAAATAGCCTTCTGATGCACGAGAAGACAGATTTACCTTGCTTAGACTTTTTCCTTTTATGATGTATTACAAAAAATATGATCGGCAAAATCAGCAGGACCAGCAGCACAAGGGGGACAACGTATATCAAGATAGACTGTTCTGCTGCTTCTAGGCTGTCCTGATTGTTCACAACATTCAATTCAGTACTTGTAGTACTTTTTGTTTCGAAGCCGCTTTCAGTAGCGCTTGAGGTGACAAGTGCTGGCTCGTGGTCATCCGCGGCCGAGGGACGCGTGGCAGGAAGAGGCGTTACTGCAGTCGTGGGTAATATTGGCGATCCATCTCCTGAACCGTCATTTTCAGAGCCTGCAAAAACAGATGAGGACAACTTAACATTTTATGGTTTTTATTGGTATTATCAGTGAGTCAAAGCGAACGGTTTTAATATTCACTTGTCATTTGATGTCTTTAAAAAAAAAAAAAAAATCAGCAGATGCCCCATACACACAGACTTGAAGACCTGGGCATCAGATATAAAATTAGATTGCAAATTTGTTACAAACTCTTACCAGTCCTGACCCATGTTCTTCAGCTGGCTTTTACTGGGACATGTCGGCATGCGTGGCCTGTCTGCATGCAGCTGTCTTGCACAAACAGACTTTTTTTTTCCCTGCAGGTTGGCACCCGATGTCACGCTCACGTAAGAGTCTTCTGCTTCTCAGTAAACCACCCCATCCTGCTTTGCTCCTCAGCCCTGGCTTGTACGGCCACAACCTCCTTCGTCCCTCTCTTTCCTCGAGGAGTTAGTACTCCCTTCAGGGAGACAATTATCTCTGATTTACCAATTCCTTGGGCTCACTCATCTCCTTCCTCCTGTGCCTTTCTCAGATTTGTTAAATTTGTTTCACTGTGGAAAACAGAACTGGTGAAAGGAAGTCTGAAGCCTGCAGAAGCTGCTGGCTTTCACTTCTGCACAGACTAGAGGAGGTAGCAGCGACACTGGGACCTTTCTGGATACAGGTGAAATTAACTGCTCCTCTGCCTGACCCTACAGGCTGGCTGAAGGAGTGCATGATAAAGAGTCAGTGCTGGTTAGTCTTCACAAATGCTAAGACTGGGGATTTTGAACCTTGATTTGGGTTTTGGTTTCATTTATCATGCATTTTGCAAGAAAGGTGGCTAAAATTGGCTGTATTGGTAATAGTGAAACCATCTTTTTTTAGAGGCTAATGAGAGTCTGTGTTGACTGTCGCAGAGTTTAAAGCTTAACAGAAGTACAGCAAAATCTGGGCTGGTACTATATTCTATAATGATGCCAAAAATCCTGTCGTGTAGCCAAAGTTGCAGGAATCAGTCCTTAGATAAATTACACCAATATGTCTCCAAATGCAAAACCTTCAATAATTTGCTTAGCATGAAATTAAATTATGATTTTTTTGTGTTGCCTCCTCTCTCAGATACAATGCTGGCATGGTTCAGCTCTCGTTTCACACAGTAAGGCAGGATGGGATTTCATGACTTTTGCAATGACATGCTTCTCCCCATTCTTGTACAGGGCTGGGCAGCCATAAGTTTCCACTAGAGTTAGCAACAGCTTAAGGTTTTCAGCACCTCAGTGCTGGCATTTCCAATCTCGCAGGTCTGAAACCAAAAGTACTTAGCATTTTCAATGCTTTTGTAAACACATTAATCTTCATAATGGCCCTGAGAGATGAGCAGTTATCATCTCCATTTTACAAATGAAAAATCAGGAGGACAGGGATGCTGTCCTTCCCAGGGTCACCAAGTGAGAGAGGGGAAGGGGGATTAGAGCACTGTCTCTTGCTTCACCCACTCTGCAGCATCTCCTTTCCTGTCAGATTTGTCTCAAAGAGGAGATAAGTATCTCAAGGTGCTGTATTCCAGGAAACCCAATTTCAAATGAATAAAATTATTTGAGTGTGACAGCAGTGATTTATCTAGATTTTTATTCCATGTTTATCACTCAGGCATCCGATTGTTTCATCCTTTCCTGAAAACTAGGAAAGAATTTTAATGCTTAATACCCAATAATTGAATATAGAATTTAACACTGCAGAGGTCATCAGACTTGTTCACCACAACGTGACAATGAAAATGTTAGCTCTTCAGCAGCAAAACACTTCATCCATAGTCTCTCTGTCGCTTTCTCCTGTATTCACTATTTCAGTCAAGAGCAAAACACGCTCTCTGCCTCCCTTGCAGGTTATGACCCCTTATGCGCGTGCTCCTCCACCCCTTCCCATGATCTGCTGGCTGCCCTGAATCCTATTGTAGAGGACTTCTTTATTATTTTGGCCACTTGACTTTTCTTTCCCAAGGTAGGTTGTAGTCCCTGGTGCCTGCAGCCGCTCCGTTTCAATAGTCGTTGCACAGAGCCGTGAGGTATCGCTAGCAGTGCCCGCGGCGTGACAGACTGCGGCGTGACTGACGGACGGCGGAGCTGATGGGCCACCGCAGCCCCACCAATCCGCCTCGACAACCTTGCTTCATTTTCCTCCCCTAGCCATCGCCCTTGAAACCTGTCGTCTGCCGCATCTGATATATTGACAAGGACAAGCGCCGTTGCTCAAAATAGTACAAATGAGAAAGGGTCTGGGGAAATACCTTATTTTTCATTTACTCTTAGAGCTAAAATGGATTTTTCAAGTGTCTAAAGCATGGTGTGACTTTAAAGAAAAGCAAACAGTCACACCTCATTAACTGCACTGCTAAACTTTCAGCTGCAGTGTATGCTGTACTTGATTTCCAAGAGAGACTTTTCCAGCGTCTCTGGTACTTTTTATTTGCCTGTTCTTGAGCTGTGAAGCAGATTTCAAATCGTTTGTCTCTGTGTGAAATAGAATTACCTTTTCTAGTCTCTAGGCAAAGAAAATGGCAAATCACAGGGAGTGACCTTGCTGCCACACATTTTTGTTCCCTTTGCATAATTCCAGGGATAAAACAGCAGCTCTTCTGTGAACACCAGTTCCTCTTACAGAGATCTTTTCTCCGAGTGAATTAAATATGTCTTGCAGCAGAAGGGCAGGCGATTGCACAATGTTCTTGCAAGGATATTGCTCATTTCCTGTGTTTCACCTTCTGCCTTGACACATCTCCCTCCAGCAATTCTGCCTGTCACCTCCGAGGACCAGAGCTCGGACCCGAGGGATGCCCTACCTGTCACACAGGGGCTGCTCTGGCTGTCGGGCCACCCACACAGCACTTTTTTTATGTGGTAGGAAAATCACAACCTGCACCTGGGTGGGCCTGGGGGCTTGTACCAAGGAAGGATTTGTACTTCCAGGCCGGTGGGGAAGGATGGGCTCAGGCTGCCCGGTGCAGGGGCAGAGCTCATCGCAACCAGCTGCCCAGGCCATGTGAGACCCACATGGTTGGCCCCAAGGTGGTCGTTGGGTTTTGTACCGTTTTGGTTTAAAGCGCTCAAAATAGCGAGCGGGCTGTGCTGCAGCTGGCCCCAGTGGCTGTTTTGTAGGGTGACTGAAAGGTGGGTGTTGCAAGGTTTGGAGCAGGGCAGGAGAGCATCTCAAAGATGGAAAACCAAGGCCAGTGGAGTGGAAGAAGAGTGAGTCACATCTGACCACGTAGGGTATCTCCTTGACTTTGCAAAGTCTCTGTTCTCCCTCCTGCTGAGCTCAGCCTCATGCTGCTGGCTATGGTTTGACATCTGTACTCAGCCCCTGGCACACCCTGGCCAAGGAGCAAGTGCTCACACAACAGCAGCAGCATTGGTTTCAGCTTTGTCTGGTCTGCTTGGGGCACGAGTGCTGGCAAGGTCTCCCTGCGTTGAGGGAAGTGGATGGGAGCATGCCATAGCTTCAGCCCAGCCCCTATTGCCATTCTCCATGCTTTCAGGAGCAGAAAGGAGAGGGGCTGGCATGCAGCTGTGTCCCACCCTGATGGGGAGCTGGGCACCGCTGGAACTGGAACGTAAGAAGTCTTCAGGTTCCCACCACTGAGGTATTAGAGTATCTATTCCTCGGGGGACCAAAATGCCTGAGCAAGCACTAGCAGCAGCTCAAAAAAGGCTCCATTACAGTTCTTATAAATTAACAAAAAGCTATGTCCCTGTATGCACATACCATGGTATAGGGTATTATTCGGTATTTTCACCTTTAAAAATATGCTCAGATTACTGATGGACTTTGCATGAGTTTTGGAGGTGCTCCCAAGCCTGCCTTTCAAGGGAGACAGGGAGTTGCATGGACGGAGCAGCTTTGCAGACTGGAGTCCAAACAACTGCATCTCAAACAAACAACGTTTCTGTTGTTGCAGCATTTCTTCCTCTGAGGTTTGTGCTGTAGCACTCAGAGGTGGCGATAGGAGCTTCTTGATGAAGTAAGTGGGAAAACAGGTTTCTGATTTCAGCTGGATGTGAGGCAAAGGGAAATAGCCAGCAGTCAGCACTTTTGGTTCTGCTGTAAATGATCAGTCTCTCTGCTGCCTTCTCATCAGACTTGAGTACTGGGTTTTCTGAAGGGAATTTTTCAAATTACACTATAGTACTTCATTAGAGAAGAAAATGGAATGGGAGAAAAGAAAAGCAAGAGCAAAGTCAGTGGGACACTCAAGCTTATTAGTTTGAAAGGAAGGTTTTTGTTTCTCCAAACCTTCCTATAACCTATAAAAATGCAGTGGAAGGATGGCTCACAAGAGGGTGACAAAAGAAGAAAAGGCCATAAAGCTGTGTATGCTGGCATAAAGTTACCGCATCCCATATCACTCTGCTCCATACATGCATTCCTTCTGGTGGTATAGTCATACCACCCTACGTGCTCCGTATGATCCTCTCTCCCATTGCTTGACTCATCCCTGTTCTGTTCCTCTCCCTGCACGTCACGTTGCCGTAAGAAGGGCCGTTCCTTGCCGTGGCCAGGGCTTGCCCCGCTGCCTGTTGCGGCAGGTCCCGCCTGTCAGTCTGGCTAGAAGAGGAATCCTTAAATGCCTGCAGGCTAGCTGTTGGGAGCGCACGCTCTTCTGATGAAGGAGCACGAACACGTCAGGATGGCTAATCTGTAGACATGATCCTGTTAAAACGAGGTGCTTAGAAAGTGTTATCTAGGTATAACCTGAAAGAGGAAACAACTGTTTAAGTTCCTTTATGGAGACTTTCTCCTCACTGTTCGTCCATCCAGCTGAAGTTCTGCATTGATTGTCGCTGTTGCAAATTCAGTCACGCGTCTTAGAGTCAAACTGAACCTGTAGTCTCATTCCTCACCCCCAGTACTAAAGGTTTTCCAGACCAATTTATGCATTTAGTTGCATCTGCTTAATCTTGTGGCCTTCTGGCTCTGCGTCAGTGATACCCATGCGACCTCACCGTGATGCAAATCTCTCCATGCTCCTTGCTCTCAGGAGGACCCTGAAATTAAAGATTCAAAAACTCCAAAGGCTCTCCAGCCATCGTAAAAATCTCTTGATGGAAAATAGACTAGGGTCACTGACTGAAATTTAGTATACAGTCTTGCTGATGTAAAAGAGAGGTTTTCTGAAATGTCCCTGAAGCACTTGAATAAAACACAGTGGAAGTTTGTGAGTGTGGATAAAAGGGAGGAATAGGAGTAAATATGTGCAAGGAATCTATGTATTCAGTAGAAAGGGGTTTTCATCTCCTTTATAGGGGGTTGCACGTTAGAAAGAGAAGATGCAGCGAATCCTCATTTCTTATAGTGTTGTTTTGCTAGGAAATTGCAGCAGGTGACTCTGATGGGTTCAAACTTATTCTCAAGTTCATTACTCTAGGGGAGAACAGGTCAAAAATATCATTCTCTTAGAGACCTTGGCTTTGTAGAGGACTGTACCTAAAAGGCACTTCTCTGCCCAAGAGGGAGCTGCTGCCCGTGCTCGTGATACTGCTGAATATCTGGATCTTTGATAGCAATGTTTCTTTGAATGACAGCTCAGAACAATAGCGCAGCCAAAACAAAGCACTGCCTGCAACCATCTCAGCTCTTCCACTTAGCGATCTTACGTGCTTCACTGCTCCTCTCCCTCGTGTGTTTTCTTGCCCTCTGCGCCCGACCACTTGCACTGCAATTTCCCGCCTGTGTCACCAGACACGGGGCAGGTGGCACGCCCTGGGAAACGCCCGTAGGGTCAGAGCCTTTTCCTACAAGCTGTAGTAAGGGCCCTAATAGTTGCTCCTAGGGTCAGCACACACCTAGGTCAGTCTTTCAGGCTGCTGCAAGGCTGAGCAGCGAGCACCATCACCCAGAGCAGGGAGGGCCACCGCTGGCCCTCAGCAGGGCACCGGCAGGGCTTTCTGCCTGCACAAAGCAAGGGGATGGGCAAGGGGAAGGGGACTGGTGCAAACCCCAGTGACCTGGTGGGGCCGGGGGAGGACCAGTGCCCAGAGCTGAGACCTCAGGCACCCTCTTAGAGCTATGGGCTCCGAGTAACTGTAGTATAGCCGGGAGAAAACTGTCTGTTAATCATAATCCCAAAGGCAAGGCTAGGGTTTTACAAGGCTCCCAGCATGGTATGGGAACAGGACTTATAACGGCTTCAGTCTGTCGATGCTGCAAGATTTAATCATACTCTTACCGCCCATTTTGTAAATGGTTTCTAGATGATGGAGGTGAGGCCTGGGAGATCCCCAAGAGCTTCTGCCCCCCTTTTCCCACCAGCCACTTGAAAGGTGAGGACTGTGTCTGGGACTGGCGGAAAAAGGTCCTTTAAAGGTCTTGCCCTGTTCATCTGTGAGCAAGGAGGGGTGAGAGCAGAGGATCCCCCGGGGAGGCTGCCCTCAGCAGAGGGGCTCCTGACCCACCAGTGCCAGTGGGGTACCACCACCCTTGCAGTCAGAGTAAGCCCCAGGTGTATTTTGGGGTTGGTTGCACAAGCAAAAGCTGCCTTTGTATGGGGAGCAAGTGTCCCTGCTCTTGTCTGGGCGGGTGCTCTCATCCCCTGGCCCAGCCAGGGCTGTCAGCGGTCGGGGGAGAGCTCTGGCAGGACAAACTCATTCCCACGGAGGAACCGTTCCAATATCAACTAGAATTTAAAAGTGGAATTACCGGTAGGAAGCCTCTAAAGGCAGTGGGGAGTGGGTTGAGGCGCCTGGTATGTGACATCTGCCTGGTGCTTTGTGCAGCCTTTAATGCCCATTGCAAAGATGGGCAGGGGGCTCAGGGACTAAGGCATCCCTCTGCCCTGCAGAGGTGATGATGAAATACTAGCAATCGGTACGCTGCAGATGAGCTAAGGAAGTTGGAGCCTGATCTCTCCGCGTTGTTTGTGTCGTGCCCCTCCATTTCCCTGGGACCTCTCTTTTGCTCTGTCCATGGCAGGATTTTTTCCTCTGACCTCTTTGATTCTGAGCTACATTCAATGCTTGCAGCATATTTTCCTAACATGTCTGTAACACAGCAGGGCTGTAGTAATGCAGACAAGACCAAACCATTTTGTACCTGGTTAGCTCACTCTTACAGCTAAGCAAGACTCCTACCTGCAAGCATTTTGGCAGAAATCTGGGAGACAGCAGCCTGGTTTCACACCCTGCTTATAGCGCTGGTTTTCAGTGAAAAAAATACCCATATCAAACCACCTATCTCACCAATGCATTTTAAAACCTTAAGAGCAGAAGTCCAGTGATAGCTGAGAGTGACCGTCCTCTCTCCCTGCTTTCTGGAGAGCTCCAGTTCGCTACAGCAGCACAGAGGCAGCAAACACTTTTAGTCCATGCTGAGGCGCTTTGGCAGTGATTTCTTTGACACTGAAAGGCATGTAAGAACTGCCTGACAAGTTTTTACTAAAAGAGCTGACTGTTTTGCGCATTCACTGGCTGCCAAAATGCAAGTGGAACAAACTAACCCCCACGAATGGGTGAGAGCCTCTGCAACGACACCCCCAACGCTTCAGCATTTTGTCATAAGTGGCTTTTCCACTCACGGTTCATCCTTTCAAAAGGTCAGGACCTAAATCCGTGGTGCCGACCACTTTGTTCTGCAGCTGAGAATTCAAAATATTTGTCCCTTGACTGGCTGTTCTTTTGTTAAACCGGTTTCAGTGCACTAGGACTACGGAAATCAGCACTGAATGGAAGCGGTGCTCTGTCTTTAACTTTACTATTAAATGCTGATAGTATGGGTGTGGGGTTAAAAAAGTACAACAGTTTGAATTAGAACAAAAATGCCTGGCGGGCCAGCGTGGAAATTCCAGTCCCCTACACACCTGCAATTTAGGAAATGTAGGAATTGTAGGACTCGGTTGCTGCCGTTCAGGGTTAGGTCTAAGTAAAAAAAGTCAAAGCTTTTTTTGAAAAAGTCAGGCATCTGAAAACAGAGGGGGTAAACACAGCTAAAAGAAGCGGAAAGCAAGTCCCCACAGATCTTCTCCCAGCGCTCAGTTTGGAGGGTGTTGCCCCCCGACTCGGTCCCATCGCTGCAGGCGTGAAACGCGGTCCCACCTCGGGAAGGCGAAAGGCGCTTTCTTACTCACTGTTCCCAGCAGATCCTCCGGCCAGCGACAGGGCAGAAAGCAGCGCGATGAGGTTTTGCTTTCGCATGTCGCCCTGGCGGCGCTCCCACCCGAGGGGTGCTTCGGCTGGCTCCCTGCTGCACCCGAACATTTACATTTCCTGTTTCCTGCCGGGGTGCATCTGAGCTGCATTTCTTCAGGAGATGGACTCTCTTTGATGGGTTTTAGGAAGTGATGTAATTCCGTCTGGGCCTGTCAAGCAAGCGATGATTGCAAAAGAAAGAAGAAGAAAAAAAAAAAAAAAAAAAAAAAGTTGCTCTTCAAGCACTAACTCGGCTGAAGCACCTCTATGCTGTAGGTGAGTGAGCTCCTACTCTCCTCTGCTTTTTTGATTCCTGACTTTACTACCACCTATCTTCATCCACATGCAGTGTCATGGGGACAAACATCATACAAATACAAATCAGACACAAAATTTCATTTACGTGTGTTAGCAGGACGGCTTCACGTTGCTTTTCAGGTTGGTTGAGCGAGCAGGTTTCAACAGTGCCTCCCTCCCTGCCTTGGTTTTCAAGCCTGAATTCTCCCCCAGCGCCGTGGGACGCTGTGTGCATTTACAACCCCAAAAGGCAACCCCCCAAGCAGGGCTGTCTCCAGCAAGTGGGAAAAACGGCTGGTTCGCTTGGCAGCCTGTAACTGGATCGGAGGGGGCTGGTCTGAGCCAGGGAAGAGGAAAAAAAGCAGAAAACCACATCATTTTTTGTTAGGAGCAGGTGTCTTAGCTGGAAAGCACTTAGACGCTGGTGTGGCCGTGGCTGTAGATGACAGAGGCCAGAAGGTCTCAAGCCCCACCGGCACGGAGTGCCTGGCGCGGGGGGGTCCGTGGTGCCGTGGCTGATGGAGGTGGCAGGGGAGCAGGGAACTCCCGTCTCGCTTCCTCCCTCCTCTTGACTTTCGCTCCCCCCTCGGTGGTCTCTGGCTGGGTGTGCAGACCGTGGGGAATGGCTGTGCCCCCCCCCCCCCAGCTGCCCTGTCCTCTGCCCCCACCGCCCCACCACTGCCCACTCACTCAGAAACACGCGAGGGTTGACCAGAGGCTTCCAAGTATTGCCTGTCGCTGGACAAGAGCAATGGAGGAGCTCAACATTAAACCCAACATTTTCAATCTTCTTGCTATAGGGGGTGGGCCTAGCCAGGGCTCCGAATTTGGACCTGGATCTAAACTTTACCTATTCCCAGGCAGGGAGGGTGGTTGGATCATAGGTTTGGTTTGTTCCAGTGTACAAATAAGTGCTAGATCTAAAATTCATCCCTCTGAGTCCAGGAGAGCCTGCACCTCAGATTTTGCTCTGAGGCATCCCGGGTTTGAGCCATTTTAAAGACTCGCATAAAATTTTCCAGTAATAAACTAAGGAAGAAGAGACGTATGCTGGCTGTGCAGCAGCTTCATGGTACTTCCCCTAGACATTAGTCTGTGTCAAAATCTGATTTCTGGTGAATTAGTTGAAGCTGGCATTGGTAAATCTTCCTGTTTGGATTGGTGAGAGCTGCTGAAGTGACCAACTGTTGCTCTGCTTCTCCAGATAATAATTTTTCTTAACACACTGATGCTATTATAGGTCATCAGCTATAGTTTCTTAGCTTAAGTAGCCGAGAAATAGGTCAGTGATTTGTTTAACAGCCAGCTTGTTAACAGATTTAAAATACCTGAATTATTTAGTTAACTAAGAATCTGAACTGGTTGCTTAGTATTGGCAATGTACGTTTATGCACTTCATAAAACAGCGGGGGGAAAAATCAAAGCAAAATTACAACATTGCAGCTACACAAAGATAAAGAGGAGCTATGAGTTATGAAACTGCTGACTAATTAAATATTTCTAGGAGATATTCTTTAATATGATGTCATAGCCATACATGATAACACTTACCAGACAGAAGTGTCAGAGGTGAGACTTGTGAATGCTTTTAAGATTTTCACATTAAAAAAATGACAGAAGTTCCAAGTATTAGTAATAGTGTCTAATTACTATAGATACTTTCAATTATAAAAGTCAAGAAATTGAGGCTACCCAGGCATCTCCCATGTGCTCAGAGGCACCGTGGCTCTGCCTAGTCCGGTGATAGGAAAACTGGTAATTGGCCATTGCGCCAGCATGGGCAAAGACTGTCTGTGTTTTCATGAGCACAGACTCAGGTCCTAAGGCTGTTATTATGGTTCAGGCTCAGCTTTTCTTTGATTTTAGTCAACAGTAGGCAAAGTCATACTTTTATACAGTATTTTTACTGCTTTAATATATAAAGGATGTGTTATCCTCCTATATCCTTTCCTTTTTTCCCTTCCAGTCTTTCTACATAGATTGTAGCATTTCCCACTTGGATTCCCATCAACTATTTTTGACACACGTTCAACCGACAACTTGTTGCTGCCCCTTGAGAGCAAGATAGCCACCCACTGGTGTGTACCCAATTAATAATTTCTAAGGCAATTAAAGTTCAGGAAACGTGACTTTGTGCCACATTAAATTTTAATTAATACTTTAGAGTGATACGAAGGCAGCCTGGCATGCATTTGACTAATAAAAAAAAAATATTAAAAAACTGTAGAGAAAGAGGAATGAGATATTTTGCATGCTGATGAATCAGACTGTCACGGAAGGGCAGCTGCCTTGGTCATCCCCACCAGCCCCACGATCGTGCTCCCCTGAAGCACTCCCAGCGGGATCCCTTTTGCCTGACTGGGGAGCAAGGTTAGTACCTTCACCTCGGTCGTCCTCTTCAGCCGCGTGCTTCTCTCTTCGCAGTAGAAATACGGAAACCAAAAGCTATAGTAACAGCCTTGCTGCAAAACCAGCTTGTGTATTTGGAAAGCCAGGTGGCTTCAGTCACAGATGATTTTTGTAAGAGGGGTAGACTGTATCTGATAATTTCACAGGCCTCAGTGTATTTACTAGGATCCACAACACACTGTAGCAAAAATAAATGTCTTTTCATGGGTGAGACAACTAAGTTTCCTGGGTGTTTTCAGTGCATGCTACCCAGCTGGAAACATCTGTCCATGCTTTCATTACTGTTTCATCGATTTTTTATGATCTAAAGGGCATTTCTGACCACCTAGCTAGCCTGTTTGCTAATGTTCTAGCCTATCAGAGAAGGGTTTGCATCACTGATATTACAGGATGTTATCAGTGACATTTTCAGAAAAACAAATGTTTTGTAACGCTGCAGCCGCTTGACTCATGCTCTTCTTGTTCCTTTTTCCTATGAAAACTACAACAACAACAACAGCTAAGCTTTTGAGAGTAATAGAGGAACTTGCTGGTTAGTTATAGGCTTATATATCATAAACTCCTGCTAGTGCAGCTTGTCTGCTGCAGATGTCAGAGGCTAATCTGACCGCTCTGAAGTGCAGGCAGGGGCTAGTGCCAGTCAAGTTCTGCTAGTCCCTTAATGACTTATTTCTGCCTCTGACATATGCTGGGAAAGGACAGATCAAATTTTCCCACAAGTCACTGTGAAAGAACAGGAAATTGCACTGTATTGCAATTCAGTGCAACGTAAAAAGAAAAAAAAAAAAAAAATTGAAAAAAAAATACCCAAAGCAAAGGGGAGGGTGTGCAGAGCCAACAGGGACCTTCTCAAGCCAGCCTGGGCACCAGGTACAGTGGTGCTTCTGCAGGCTGCTGAGATAAGCAAATGTTGCAGAATCAAGGCTAAAATCCACAGCACCCTTGCGTAGAAACCGTATGTGGGTCTGGAACCGCATCCACAGTTGCACTTTTTTCAGAGCAAGCTTTGCCTGGGTGAGTTACAGAAGATAAAGCTCTCCACCCAGTAAACTCTCTCAATTCTGGATTATATGAAAAGACAAGTTACATTTTATTTCAGCTGCATAGGTGCTCAAGAAAAAAGATTTATACCTTTCTGAAACCAATGCCACCGGTATAAATTAAAACAATGCTTAGAACAGTTAGATATTGTCCCTAACTGGGTATCATAAAATAACTGAAGTAAAATGGGAGTGACAATAAAAGCGTAAAAACAAATACCTGCCAGTTTTAAGGGCCTCTCTGCTTAACTGGGCTTGTAAATTTCTGCTTTCTTTTATTGTTTTTTTTCTTTATTTTCTTCCTTATACACAAGACAGGCTGTTAAATCATGGCTATTTTGGAGACTCTAGTAGGAACAGAAAGAAAATACAAAACTATACTTGAAAATATCCAGATGTTTGTATCTAAGTTTCATTTACCAAAATTAAAAATGGATTCTAAGGAAGACTTCCAACATTTAAAAACTCCTCTGGAATGAAAAAGCCCACAGAGTACAGCTAGGGCGCTGGCAGACTTAGGTTAAAGTGTAGCTGGACACTTAATTTCCATTCATTTTTTGGAATGCGGTACACAGGTTATAAATTTTGCACATGCCAAAAGCTTCCTAAGTTTTGTAACTTGTGTAAAATCCTAAAATAGATGATGCCTGTATTCTGTTTTAGTACCGACTGTGTTTTGGAATATGCTTCCTCCTGGGGGCTCAGCTTTATTTTTGGGCAAAATCCACAGCTGAAGACTGCACATCTGAACGGATGATGTTTGGTCAGCAAAGTCATCTTGTTATTCAACCGCTAGAGAAACACGGCATCGGGATGTGATGTAGGTAGTCCCGAGCAGTGTCTCTATCTAGCCTAGCGCAGGGTTTGCCCATGAAATCCTTCAGCTGCGATCTTCCAAGACTCCTACCACTGAAAACTAGATGAGACTCCACGAGGCCTATCTTTGTCGTGGTGCAGGCCGGATAAAGGTGGGATAAACACCTCAAAGTACAGTTCTGGGGTTTGTTTTTCAGGAAAGCCTGCGCTTATCTCAGTGCTACCAGCTTCATGTTCCCTTCGGTGGCTAAATAATACGGGCTCTGTCCTAACTTTGCAACTTCTGAGTGCTCCTGAGCTCCAGCAGCAGCCGTGCCCTTTTTTGCCCCCAAAACTGTCTGTTTTAACATGGAAAGCCTAGGTGGTTGGGCCAGGAGGCTGTACCCCACTTTATTTCAAAACTATGCAGAACACCCTCATGAGGCACGAAGCCATGAGCATCTCAGACAAGCAGCCAAGGTCTGCGGAACGCAATTCTGAGAACTGGGTTTTCAGGCACTTCTATTAATTTTAACAATATCGCTGTTGTGACAGAAATTTACAATGTATTAATCTTTTCTATTTGGATCCGTCAAGGCCAGTGATGGAATGAAACTGAAATGAAATGCATCAGTTTTTAAAAGGTCTTGGGTCACTTTCCTGATCTTTTGTGTATGAATAAATCAGGTTTTCACTTCCGTGCAGAGCAGCACAGGGGTTTATTAGCTAAAGGTTTCTCTCATTCTTTGAAAATAATTATGTAAATGTCATATTAGAATGCTTAAGGTCTAAACTGAAGTTACAGACTAAAATGGTTTAA